GTAACAGTATCATTGGGCCTTCTGATACATCCAGAGGACAGTCACTCAGAAGTCTTATGCAAAACATACAGAGAGACAAAAGAACACCATTTATGTCATACATGACGCTACCTAGGAAAGACGTAAATTAGCTAGTGATAAAATGAAAAGTTTCTATGATGTTAATGCTGATAAGACTTGATTCCAACAAGGTGACATGATATCGCTGTAGAATCACCATTGCAAACACGGGTGAACTCCAAGGCTAATCAAGTGTTGAGAAAGGCCAAATATTATACAAAAAAGAATCAATGATGTAGTTTACAGAATCTATAAGAACAGGTAGTTCAAGTCAAAGGTCACACGCCATGTTTTGAAAATACATTGTTGAGAGAACTGCCAACTGGATAATTTCAGTGAGGAATTTGCTTGTGGAAACTTAGCGTGCTGAAGAACCCAATGTTTCTGCCGAGACAACTTCTAGAGGATCATAAAGGATGGAGCCACCAATGGATTCCCTCGACCATCTACTTGGAGAAAACTCCCACTGAAATAGGATAATATGTGACAATAAGGGACAAGAAGTCATCCCGTCTGCATTCTATTTCCCTTGGAGAAAGAAACCATTAAAAAACTTGGTGAATAGACAGCTTAATGTACTGTTACATTTGTATATTAGGATTGTTCAAGGGAACTAGGACACAGGAAGGGCACAGTGTTGTAAACTAATTTTTCAATATTATAATTTAGTTGTTTGGTAGAAGAAGCTGCTATAATCATGATATAATAATCGAGAAACTTCGTCTAATATTTCGAGAAGAGGGTACATTGTTTATAAAAATGAGTAATCAGTTAATAAAGTTAATGAGTATTCAGAGAGTTCATGAGTTCAGTGTAAGAAAGTTGTTTACAGTACAATGTTAGAAGTGAGATTTATCTAGTCAATTCAGTTACTCGAAGAATTACTGAAGACATTTTGTAAGTAAGTATATTTGTGAGTTAGTTGTACTTACCATTAGTCTTAGAATTTTTATTGAAATGCTGATTGTACACGTACGCTTACAAGTACAAATAAAAATAGCCTGTAGAAAACGTTAAACTAAAGAAGAACAACTAATTTCTTATTGTTCGGTGGAATTGGTTTCCCATTGTTATTACCAGGTAATCCAAATGAACATGCTCAACGAAATAACGCGTTACAACATCTTATAAACAAACACTGAAGTACAAATTTAAGCTTTAATAAATTAATTTCTGTGGAAAAACCCAATATTATAAATTTATAAACACGAATAAAAATTTGCATCCATTTTTAATCTTGGCTTTTGTTAACTTATCTATTCTTATAATTCGACAAGAGAATAGCAATAACGATTTGCTTTATCTAATTAATACCATAAATTGGGCTGTATGAACGCAGATGCTAAACAAATGTCTTACAATTTTGTTCTCATTTGTTTTCTTTAATTTAATGTAATTTTGGAACGTATATTGCAATACATGTAGATTTATTTTTAATGGCAGAAGACGAAATTTTGACTTCGACCCATGCATGCCACGCAAGCACATCTCGTTGACTTTTGAAAACACGCCACGCTGAGGGTTTGGTTGATAGGGTAAATGTTTTACTGAGTGGTAGTGGTGTCTTTTTTCTTTAAAATAACAATTCGCAGTTATGGCAGTAAGTGTGAGAGAAGTACTGTCTAAGTTTTATGAAGATTATGAGTCAAATACTCTTAAACGACTCAAAATTATAGATGCCTATCTTTTTTATATACTTCTTACGGGAATAATCCAATTTGTGTATTGTTGCTTGGTGGGTACATATCCGTTCAATTCCTTTCTATCGGGATTTATTTCATGTGTGGCATCTTTCGTTCTCGCCGGTAAGTTGTCGCATTTTTTATTATTATTAAAGATCAAAGCGTTAGTAATAATAATAATATATGACCAGGTCTAGCCTGATATTTGGGCAATAATGAGATCGTAAAAGTTAATATTATTAATTATTTTAATATTAATTAAGTAGAACTTCTAACTCTGTGACAGTAAGTTCTAATAGAAGAACTACTCTTAGTCTTAAGCTATAGATATAATTACAATTATAGATGCATGCATTTTTTCATATAAAAATAAAAAATATCAGATGCAAAGTAATTCTTAATACAAGATTGAAACTTCAGATTTTATAATAAGAATTCAGATGATTAAATCATTAATTACTATCAGTATCAGTCAGTAGTAGTTGTACCAAAATGGTTGCAATTCTTTATTTAAATGAATAACAAATCTCTGAGTCATCCAGACCATGTAGGGTATTCCACCCCTGGAAGACATAAATCTTGTGTTTCCTTGACTTTCTTCCAAATTTTATAGCATATGCACTGTTACTGAAAAGTAGAACTGGAGGAAATACAATGATTGTAATTTTTGCTAGATGGAGCAATATTTTACTGAAACTTGCCTGAGGTCATGGTGTTATTATAATAAATTATCTGCAGAAATTCATTAAAAGTCCATAATCATTGGGAATGGTAAGGACATGCAGCAGATTTTTTGACAAGATTGCACATATCTCGGAGAACAGTTGTCAGAAACATCATATTCAAAGCTTACTTGCAAGTACAAGGTAGTAAAATGCTCAGTGTGTTTGTTACCAGTGCAGTTGATGTGATTGTGACAGGATACCAGTTACAGAGAAAGCAAGCCATAAAAGAGGCTAGAGAAGAATTTCTGTTGGTGCTAATAAAAATTCCAAACATTTAACTCGTCTAGTTTCAGACCATGTATATTAACAGAATTGTCAGAATACATGGATAGCTATGGACAGAGCAGTGAGACTGGTTAACTTTGGGTAGATAGAAAATCACTATGACCACTATTTCTATAGAAAAATCCAAAGCAAATTACTTCTCATATCACTGTATTTTATTCCAACTTTTCCAAATCTTATTTGGACCCTTCTTTGTTATCCAAAATTACACAATTGGTCCAGTTGATTTGGAGATTCACTGTTAAAATAAAAAAATGCAAATGAGAGAAAAAGATGTCAAGGGCTAGTTTATAGTCTAGCTAATGTAATTGTTAAAAGCTGGATGAGCATATTACTGCAAAGACTGGAAACTTAAATAGCACTAAGTGTTATGTGTCATGTCCCTCTGTTACTCCAACTCTCCTATATAATAATCACTAAGAAGTATCTCAAAATGTGTTATCATTTTTCTATAATATAAGTAAAAACTCATTTGGCCAACAAATATTTGCTTCCACAAAGCAGTTAATTAAGACCGAATGACTATGTGACAGGTAGTTGTTAGAAGGCTTGGGTATATTTAAAAGCACCAGTGGTATCACTGCCAATGTGTCAGAAGGCATGAATGCTGTGCTAAAATGACTCACAAAAGTCATCACGTTTGCAATTGTTCATACATTCTAATTTTAGCAAATATCTTATCTGAAGGAGGTGCTAAGGGCGGGGATGCTGTGGAATTGCTTGAGACCACATGGCATCTGATGTTGCAAAGTCATGAAAGGTGGGAAATGGATGCCAAGCACCGACCCTAAATTTGATGTCAGATCACAAGTCAAAAACCTTACAAGGATTGGCTGAAATCATTGTATAAGACACTTGAGTGTTCCTACATGTACAATTATCCCACTTAATTGTTAAAGAATTGAGAGACAAAGAACTATGGAGTAAATCTCTTCCTTGAAGAGAACTGATCATGCAACAGTACTCACGAATGCTTGCATAAGGGTATTGCAATGAAAAAGCAGATTTCTTCAATCTGAATTACAAAAATATTATTTTTGATTAACTATAAAATCCATTCACATTCATACTATAAAAAGTAAAAGTTCACAAATATTTTCTGTAAGATCATGTGTTTGTATTACAGTTGCTTTATGTTTTGACTTAATTAAACCTTTAATGTAGCCAAACAGATTGTCTTTATAGAGTCTACTAGTAGTAAAAACTATTATGCTGAAAATTAATAGGCATTGTATATTCTACAAGTCATTACTGGATTTCAGTGATATAAAATCTGCTGATACTAAATGACATTTTTTTCAGATTTTGGTACGAGAAGCTAGAAACAGACATTTTGATATATACTGTGACATATGGACAACAAAGGTTCATTTAGTTCTTCAAAACTGTTTCTGCACATCAATGTTCACTCTAATTTTTTCAAACCAATTGCAGAATGAATTTTTTCATGTCTACCAGTATCAAAGCAATGTGTGCTACCAGTTTTTTTTAGAGGTGGGGGTATTTTTAGACCATTGACCCTATTGGATCATTAGGCCGCTTTGTAATGCTACCAGTTGACTATTTGACCTTTAGGCCTATTAACTGCTAGTGTCATTAAGGCCATCAATGCAGCTGGAATAATGAAGTGTGTGACACTCAATTGGTTGTTGTGGGGCTGCACAGCTTAGAGGGAACACTGCTACACACCCACCAAACATGACAAATTAAACTACCTTTTCTGTTTTTAAGGAAGTCATCAATTCCCATCATAAACTTGTGTAAGATTCTGGCCTCCACTGCTGATGGTGGATACTCATTCCTTCATTTTCTTAGGAAAAGAAAATTCTAGCCCAGCTTGTCTTTTTATCAAATCTTACACTTGTGTTCTCTCATCATGTTGTCTTTAGAATACACCACAACGAAATAAAGGCCTTTATCTTACTGATTCCTGAGATGGTCTTGTAAACTTCAGCAATAACACTTCTTACTCTTCTTTTCTTAAGAGAAAATAAGCTAAATGGGTAAATAGTTTTAACCTATCTTTATTGTGGCCCTCTGAAAGCTTTCCAGTAAGAGAATAAAACTTTTCACAGTATTTTAAGTGAAGCTGGTGTGATGAACCATGGTATTAGGTGAAAGACCTTGTCAGCACTGGATATATCAGATAGTGTGGTTGGTATATTGTTATACCTTTGTTTTTACTTTTGTTCATAATCTCTTCGAATAACTAATAATGTGTAGAAAGAGATAATTGTCTTTTCAGTTGTACTCATTACTTTTTTATAAGTACATCCTAAACTTCTGTTAGCTTTACTACTAGTAACAAACCATTGCCTGGATAACTAGTAATAGATTCATGGCAGAAGGCTTAGATGATCTTGTTATTTAGTGTGATGGATATTGCTTTCACTGCCATCTCTTAAAAATTAATCATTTTAATTAATCAAGCTGTGCTGTCTATTAGAGAGAAATGGCACAGCTGCTTAAGTATCTTAACCTTAGTGAAATGTACAGTTAGGTTTCTTGTACTGCTCAATTTTAATAATGATAATTAGTACTCCAAGTGGTGGGGGTAGCTTGTATACCACTCAAAGGTATGTGCCCATCAGACTCTGACAACTTGTTTCTATAGGCCTCAATGTTCATTTACTTCAGCGCTGCTCTTTTACTATCTTTATATTATAGAAGTGGCATCTCTTTAGAAATACAACACACTCTTAAAAGGGCAACATCTGATATCATTGTATTCTCTGAAATCAGTTGTAGATATTCAGATAATCATAATATAGTTATTTCTTGTATATTCCTCCTCCTCCCCCTTTTTGTATGTTTAACTAATTATATTGGAATTGTCTCTTAACTGGTTCTGATAAAACATTTGACCACAAACTATTATGAAAAACCCATTGTTCCCTTGAATGAAATTTTCTATTTTCATCACCCACATCCACCAATTTTTTGTTTTCACAATTCCCAGTACAAATTATACTTGCAAACTTCACATATAGTGTACTAACCTTTTTTAAACCAAAAGTCATAATGGATTGATATTGCCTTGAGTATGCAGTTTGGATCATGTTATCTCTGACAAAAGGACCATCTAATGAGGTGTCTGAGATGTGATGAACACTCAAGTTTCAAATTCAGAGATTTATCCTAAAATGAATATCCTTGTTTGGAAGTACTGAATAAAATATTTCTTAAATTTTCAGATCACATTGAAAATGATGAGTTTAATGTAAGGTGGTTTATTTGGACTTCCATAATTACCTACTAATATACATGATTCAATTTGTACAGTGGCTATATCAATTTATCTACCTAAATTAGTTGTAATGAGTCATTATGTCCCAACATTAACTCATCCTACCCCTATTCTAATCTTTTGGAAGAAAACTCCATTAGAAACAGTGGAACTTGGCTTTTCATGTGTTCAATTGACAACTGATAACCTTGCCAATCTATTCGACTTCTCAATCCACTAAATAACTGTCTTCCAAGGAGTTATTCAAAATTCTCTAGCTTTGCTTATTGGTACAAAAGTGAAGTGACATATGCTGTGTTGTAAGTTTATTTTATCCTTACACAACCATTATATGGTTTCCTAAACTATGCAGTCTCATTAGTTTCGTAACATGACCAAATTGGTTTATTATTCAATTAAGTTGACCTTCATATTTTTTTAGACTAACTTATTTCAATGTACAGTTAGTACTAGTTTTATATTTCACATTACATGAAAATCATATTAGTGGTTTTAGCATTTTCTTGTTTTTGAAATATTCATCCTAGTTTTTGCATGATACTTTTTACAATTCATGATATGTAGCAATTTTAAAAAAAAAACCTAGTACATGTAAACATGTTATTTATAAAATTCTAGGTTCCTGTTATAGCTGTTTATCTGCTTTACTATCCACTCCAGGCACAAGGCTATTTAAATATTTTTCTTTCTCTTTTTTTAATTTTTTTTTACTTTCCATTTCATCATGTCAGAGTTGTAACAAACTTAATGTTTGGGTAAAGATTCTGATGATTTCTGTTCTTTTCAGGCTTTTATATAATTTTATCAAGGTAGTGGCACATCTCTGAGCATTCCAATATATCCCAAACAGCTGTTACTATAATTCTTCTTATATTTCTTTTGAATACATGACCTCATCAGGACCTGTGATAACAGTTTGAAATATCTACAAACTACTGTAGGTGGATAAAGTTTGTCAGATTACTATAAATAACATCTAATAAATCTCTATTATTTGCTAGTATTTTGGCAAAAGCTTTGACAATTGGTATGTTTCTTTTCCCAAAAGAATGTATTTGACAACTAGTTAATTCACATTTGTGCAAATAAATAATTAACCATTTTCCTTGAAAAAAAAACAAACACATTAACGACTAGTCTCTGTTATAAACATGATTTCAAGGCTATTACAACTTTTAAAACTGTTTTATTACTTTTTTCACTAATATAATGTGTATATCTTAGTTTTGAGAATTTTCATATTGTGAAAAAATACCCCACCTCTTAATAATCTCAGTACCAAAGTATACCTTTGTTGGAAAGATATGCAACAACTACAGGTTATTCACTGACCAGTCAACATTAATATCAAGATGTGATAATGTCTTAGTATTTGTTTTCTTTGTGGTACTACAAAAACACACTAAAGAAGAAACTGTATTTACTTAGTACGTCTTTATGCGTACTCCGTTAATTCTAGTGTAAATGTGTAGTAATTATGGCCTTGTTTAATTTATTACATAAATTAAAAAAGTTTAAATACTAGTTGTCATTATATTATAAGTTAATTAAATATTACTATTGTAATACCAAATTTGTGTGTCAAATGATGTTGATATGAAAACAAAGCATAAAGGAATGACTGAAGAAAAGGATATTGTCATGGTGGTGCATAAGTCATTCAAGCCATCGAGGCATTACTAGTACTGTTGCTAGTAGTATACCTAATAGAATTTTAGGGTGTATTCATAGATGTGTATTGACTATAAGTCAAAAGAGGTAATAATCTATATACAAATCTAGTAGTTGGAATGCTGTATATACGTTGGCCTCCTTATCTAAGAAAGGATATTGACTTACTTAAAAGGGTTCAGAGGAAGGCTGCTATGATGACTCCATGGATAGATGGGTTATATAATTGGAATAGGTTAAGATCTATTAATTTTTTATTTTTAAAAAAGGTAAGAGGTGATCTTATTGAAGTTTACAACATTATTCAGGAAAAAACAAGGATAAAGACTTCTAATTTTTGTACTATATATAGTGTGAAGACAATAGGTAGAGAAGACGCTACCTTAAGATTTGGAAAAAGACAGGCTAGGCTCCAGTTGAGACTGTTTTATTTTTCTAATATGGCAGTATTTCTTAAAGTGTGGGAGATGCAATTTATCTCTCGGGGGGGGGGGGTGATTAAGGTAGAGTCAATAGTGCAATAATGGAAAATTAAGTATTTTAAGATATTTTTTTATCAGTGAACATAATAAGTAATTACTACAACACATAATGCATTTTAATGCTTATCCATATAATATATCTTGTCACTTAACTTACTGTTTCACTCATTTAAAAAGGAGGGGGGCATGCAAGAAACTATATTTATTAATGTTTGTAAATGTTGAATTGTGGAAGGAGTTGCTACTAGTATTTGTTGAAGGCAGGAGTTTAAGAAGAGATTCAATTTCTTGAAAAATAAAGGGTGGGTCTAAATTTTACTTTTCTGAAGTGTGTGTGTGTGTGTGTGTTTAAGGACAGCCTTGAAGGACCAAATAATCCCTTGTTGTCTATATATTTCTTATCCTTTGGTGGCTTTTTTAATGAAGAATGATTATAACTTTTCATAATTTTTTGTATTAGTAAAAAGTCAAGTAGTGAGGTAAATGATTAGAAAAAATGGTCATAAAATGTTTTTCTTGGTTTCAGTTTGTTTGCGACTACAGGTGAATCCACAAAATAAAAGCCAGTTACACTACATTAGCTCAGAACGAGCCTTTGCTGACTTCATCTTTGCACACATTATCTTGCACCTAATTGTTATGAATTTCATTGGTTAAAAAGGTAAGTAATATTTAGTAAACAAGTTTTGTGGAGTGAAAATTAATTTTCTAACCAAAAGTTTGTTTTTATAGCATTTAATTATTTAATTTATATTTTATAGTATATTTAAATAAGTGTTTTGCTGTATTGAATAGCATCATAAACCCAAAGTATTTGTGCTTTGTAAGTGATAGGTACCTTTCAGTTTTCTATTATTTAGTTCTTGAGCTTATGTATAATTATTTAGTAAGTATTTTTGATGTTAAAACTCAAGATTAATGAAAAATTTCATTTTGGAAGAAAACGTCTTTGTAACATGATTTGGTTATTCATGCTTTTACCTGGTGTAGATTGCAAATAGAAAATTTCAACCTTTTTGTAAATATTATATGATAAAACTTAATTAAAAGAAATTAATCAAATTATTAATGTTTTACTTGTAAATAAACTGTAAATACTCAGGTTCATAGTTTATGATAAAAATATTAAGGTATTTAACTCAACATTCCAATAGCTAATATTTTAAATGGCACATAACAGTGAGTTTATCGAAAAAGGAAATATTACAAAATATTTTAATGACACTAATTCTGGATTATTAAGTGTAACAAAAGATAAGAGAATTCAACTGTTTGACTCGGGAAGGGGTTCTTTTCCTTAGATATTGTCTGCTGTTTGAGGCATACCCATTTTGAGAAATTTTATTAGAATAGCTTTTTTTGACTCTCATAATGTTAGAATCATTTCCATGGTTTAAAACTTTGTTTAAGTTAAGTTAAAGCTGTTACAGGTGTTCGAATGTTGATGAGCAAGATAAGGTTTGCATTCATTTAGCCTATTCTTTTGAAACTTATCAAACTGTTAGTGAGGCCATTTGCTCTAAAACTCTGTTCTGCTGATATTTTTTTTTTCAAGATCATTTACTGGTTATCTTTGTGATACTATTTAAACATTTTTGTCACCAAAAATGGTGTTGAATTAAATAAAAATAATCCTGTTTACATGTTTTACACTAAAAAACTCATTTTTTAAAGTCATTCCATTATTTTATTATGTAAATTTGGAATAAATAGAAGTGCTTTTTATTTTAACTTTTCTTTTTAAAGATGTTTGGCTCTAAAAAGGGACATATTTCATTTCCATCTGGATTTGTCTGTTTTCTCTATCTCTAGCCTCAATGATGTATAATGGATCTTTTATTTCCATAGAGCATTCAGTTTGAAAATCAACTATTTCTGGGAGAAGACTGTGTCTGTTGAATTGGTCAAGTTTTGGAATAAATTTTGGTAGAAATATCTCCTTGTAATATGAAGCTACCCTTAAATTTCATGAAAATAATTGTGGTTTTGTTTCACATCAGTCGTATTTCTGTTTTTGGTAAAACAATCTTATTTTCTCTGCTGCTTCAAATGGGGTCATATTTTTGGCTTTCTTGAGACATTTGATTTCAATAATACCATTGTTACCAATCAGGTTATATGGACCAGCTGCTAAATATCCATATTCAATTGTAAATAAGTAACCCACATACAGTGACTGTTGTATTTTGCTGTTTGTGGTATTGTTCTGAAGCTAAATGTTAGTAAGCTGGTCTGTATCCCATGGCAACATATTAGAAATCTTTTGTGTAAAGAATTTTTTTCCCATGTTAGTGCATGATGATGATACTCTCATTTTAGCTACCATGCCAAAATGAGAAGACTTGAGTCTGTTTCTTCTCACCATCACAAGTTGTTCACTTTAGGCATTATGATCCACTTAAAGACTTAGCTTTTCTGTTGTAAGCTGTTTTCAATTCTTGTGAAGACTTAATTGGTTAATTAGCATATGTTGAATTTTGGATCTCAGAGCACTTATTTGTGAGAGCTGACTCAATTTTTTTTTATTGGAACTAGTTCTCTTTCAGCTTTGATGTTCAAGATACATATTTCCTTGTCATAGTGGAGAGATTTGTGATTTTAGATGTTTTCCAGACCACATAATGTCACCTGGGTCCCCACTGATATGCCAGTCCTGAAGCTCAACACCTATTTCTATAACTTTTCTTTTATGATTTATCAATTCTCTTCCTGCCAAGGAATTTCCCTGCAATATTCATGTAACATTCATCTGCATTATTGGTAACAATTTGTATTAGTTGTGGAGATTTTTGTACCAAACAATTTATACAAGACATTATCTTCAAGTTGTATGAAATTGTATTGTTAATATTCTCTACAATATTTTGAGAGCTGCAAAAAATATTTCTGGCAGTGTTGATTTTGTACAAATACCTAATAGATGTAGGGCTTATGTTTTAGATCTCCTTTGGAAATCTTCAGTAGATGGATTTGGTTGTCGGGCATGATCATTTGCATTAATAAAATTTGTTTCCATACAGCTCCAAGCATATTTTCTTTTCTCAAGTAAGTACATAATGTGTAGGGCTGAGTGAGTACTGATATTTGCTGACTGATAAATTTATGTGCTCATTAATCCATTAGTATACCCCATCTTTGTTATAAGAAAGAAAAAAAAGGGTTTGTGCTGGCTCTACTGGATTATTCTAACATGGTATTAATCTTCCTACTTTTGTTTACTGTATTTTGTTTCTTTTTAAGTAATTTACTAATTACCCTTTATTTCATGTGATAATATCCTCTGAATATCACCATTTACAAATTTTGTGAAAAACATTTTCTTTGTCTAAAGAAATATCTTCCACAAATTTAAAAATGTGTATGTAATCAGGACATTTCCTATTTGGTGAATGAATACTTCCATCAACTAAATACCACCATGCAATTACCATTATGTTTTTTTTAATATGCAGTAATCAATTTCCCAGTGATCTTACGTAAATAATATAAATTGATAATTTTTAATGAAAACATGTTTTACTAACACTGATAAAGGTAATAATGTTTTTATTTAAAACATATCGTGACTACAATTGCAAATAAATAAGAATTCATTTAGCCAGTTTATTTTTGAACATTGAATATGATAAATGTAAAAAATTATATTCAATAAAGATACGAGTCATCACAGTATTTTTCAGTCCTCTACTATATTCACTATATAAACTTAAAATCATATCAAATTAGATAAGTTTAGTTATTTTATTTTGTGAACATAATAAAAACATCTCATGTTTACAAATATTGCAACTCATTAAAACAATAATGTATCTATTAAAAAGTAAAACACTAATCTTAAACAGAAACCCAACATCAACATGATACCTTTATTTAGCTTTAAGCAATCTCCTGTCATATGACTATTTTTCATATATATATTTGTGTGTTTGGGAAACTAGTTGTACCTGATGATGACAAAAACCTTCTCCAAAAATAGCACACTTGTTACTGTCTTAAACTTGTAATAAAGTCTCTGTTACCCATTCAATCCATCTCTAAATTTTATAAGCTTACCTTATCTCAAGCTATCTGATGTATTCTCACTGAAGAAAGTTTCTGTAATTTAGAAACAGGTATAATTTAGCAGACAAATACTTTCACAAGTTATAATTTATGTTTATTCTAGAATGAAGAGGCATAATTTATGTTTATTTCCTAATTTTTTGTAGTTGTTGCGAGATTGTTCAAATCTACCGAACCCATACAGAGATTAATTACTGAAAATAACAGATAAAATATAATGTTTTTTTATAAGAAACATTTGATAACTATTTGGACATTATGAATATTTCGCAAGTGAAATTTTAAAATTTTCTGATGCGTAAAAGTATTTTTAATTTTAAAATGAAAATTATTTTGCATGATAGATAGGCAAGATGTGAAAAGAAAAAAAAAGGCATCAGAAAAACGTTGCTTTACAAACCTTACAACTTAATAAAAAAATCAGATATTTTGCGTATGAAAGCATTGTAATGTTTTTAATGATAATCTGCCAAATTTTGTTAACATTCACGTACTAATTTAAAAGTTATAGCATG